TAGTCATGAATATATCTGCGAGTAGTGGACCAAGCGGAGACCCCATTGCTATGCCATCCCTGTGTCTATAAATGCTACCATCGAACTGGAATTGTTCGTTCGCGGTGCAAAACGTAAGACGTTCTTTACAGACATGGATTGGTATGCCTATGTTGACATCGTTATTGGAGAAAAAATGACAAAGTATATAGTCTATCGTTTCTGTGAGAGGGATATTTGTGAACACAGAGAGGTCTTGTCTAATGAGAACATCTTTGGATTTTCCACATGCATTNCATTTCTCAAACTGCGTCAACAAGCCTGAAAGAGCTCAGTACGCTGTGTGCTGACAACTTCCTCCCGACAGGTTCAAATAGTTCAGCTAACCAACCAGCGATCAAATGGTCGGGTGAACCGGACGTATCAAGAATGAGCCACTTCATGACACGGATGAACATGTATAAGCGCTATGTCTATGATATATTCTGTTTGGTATCTCTAAATATAGACGTGGACGAGATCCTGCGAGCATTCCGAATTTCCAATTCACCATGAGGTTAGAGATTCGGTACTGATTCTGAATGTCCTGTTACAAAGAAAATTCGACGGGGAAATTCGGGAGAAGTGTACATCACAAGCCTCAAACGGAACCGGTAATACACTCATTTTCAGAGCTTCGTACTAATGCAACATGCGAAACGAAATTTGGTGCGTTGTCTGAGGCCAGAGAAAATCTGCTTCGCCAACACAAGGTTTTAGATGAAATTCTGCTTCGGATAGGCAACACCTTAAGGGGAGAAAGGCTGTCCAGAAAGATTCATTAAAAGGTACGCTTCGACTGATTCTCACTCCCGTTATTCTACGGTCTCTAGGAAAAGAGTTTATGCAACAATCGAATGCTGGGTATAGTTTTTGTCGGATCGGCCATCTTACTCGCTAATTTAAACGCTGCCATTATCCTCTACAAATTGAATATGTGGTGAAATGTGAGAACTTTATGTCCATTAGCATGCTCGTGTTGGTAACACAGCCTATGGTCCATAGAGAGTGGTTTGGGTTACACCTTGATGGAAGGCGTTCTAACATCGTTCTATTTTGAATTCCAGAGAAAAATCAATAATCTGCGGAAAATTCGTCGTACCTTATGCAAAATAAAAATCAATCATTTGCTTCGGGTGTTTGCGTGCGTGCGCGCTGATCCGATTCACTTTATCAATGAGTTGCGCAAAGTGTTCTGATTTGAACAAAATTAAAAAAAACATACTTAGAATATACATGTGCTTTTCTATTTTTTTCCGAATTCAAACGCAAACAATAACTCACCCAGACCGGTTTAAACTTCAAAACTACAGAAAAATGTGACCACTTGGTGACCACAACGACATGCCTGTAATCTATCAAAAGAAACAGATATCAATCAGGTACAGGGTTTCCCGAGACAGAGAGAATTCCGCATTTAGGTTTCGCGACTAGGTTTAACAATACTATTTATACACGCAACTACAGGAGGAGGGAACTCGTAATCTGATAGCCAAGGAAACCTTATCATTTTTTTCCATTCAAATCAAAATCTGGTATCATCTGCACGACACACAGTTTTGTCGAGACACCCTGGCGAATCATTTTTCGCATCCTCATGTCCGGGATTCAGTACCGTATTCAAAATCGACGCGAAAAGAGTCTGTCTGAGCCGTTACACAATCATTTGTATTTATCGAACAGATTTTGTTATGGTAGAGAAAAAAATAGTTACACATCTCACAACCAGTTGTTTCTTCATTTCCTTCTCTCTAAGGCTTGATTTGGGCTCCGCGATGGAGACTGCGGATGGAGAGAGCGAATTGTTATGTAAGACTGCCTTGCATGCACAATCCATCATTTCTTTCGAAAACATTTATTGACTGTTAGGTTGTTTAGCTCGTTTGTGCTTCACTTGTTCTGACCCCGGCGGTAAATGTGATTCCTTTTTGTTCCCTATTTTGCCAAACATTATCCTCATTTCACTCGCTGCACGTCGAACTCTCGTGTTATCACTCATAGCCACATGGGTTGGAGGTGGTTACATAAACGGAACCGCAGAAAACACTTTCAATCCGGACCAGGGTTTGGTCTGGTGCATTGCACCAATCGGATATGCCGCTAGTCTGGTTGTCGGTAAGTCCCTAGTCACGTGATTCCACTTTTCTTCCCGGTCATGCATGATGTGACTAATAATGATAATAAGGTAATTCAGGATGACTGTATATGGAAGTGTTGTACACAGGAGATAATAAACGCAAATAATCAAAAGTCTTCTATAAAAATATAGAAATACGATATCTGCGGAGCGACTGTCAGATACAAGAAAAAAATCAATCTGGTGTTGATATATACTGTTTGATTATCGCTGCCTCGTGTGAAACAGATTTGGTTGGTTTCCACATTTATTCTGTTCAGTGCTGAAACTGTGATACACACGGCAGCACGTATGCGCCCCATTGCCACGGGAGAAGATTATTCTTCGAACTGGAAACCATCGCAAGTCAATGGTGAGCGTAGTATATGGTCAAATTTCAACATTATATGAATCTGCAGGACAGAATTCCGGTCAACTCTATTTTCAACTAAACTATTCAGTTTGATCACCACATCTAAGAAATATTTGTGAGACGTTTTGGAAATTTCCTCCACTCACGTAATTCACGCCTCAAATCAACTTCGAACGGTCTGAATAGCATTCTTCGACGGGGATCTTGTTAAAATATCGATTCTTTAAAAAGGTTTTTGATATCCAGCAGAAAGCGACAACTGTAAACTGTCCGTTTGACTTATTTTTCTCTCATTTGAACATTATTCTTAAATATTTACATTTGGATATAGTAAATGTTTATTTTTATCGTGGGTCCATTGAGTAAGTCACTATAAAGTCACTATAAAAGCAATTCCCCCACCAGTAGGTTTCTGCCTTGATTTATCCCCCATTCTCAACAGTTAGATATAAATTGTGATGTATTAGCCTGTAGAAGAATCACCACAAACGAGCTTGTTCGCTACTTTGTGTTTTCTCACAATTGGGTATTGATGCTTTATTCGGACAATTGAGACAAGCCAAACACTCAGTCGTACTAAAGGATCTCAACAATTATATTAAGTTCGGTACTAAGTTGGCTGTGGTGCAGACATGTGTTCGTTTCATCGATGAGTGTCTTCAAAACTGCAAATTCCCCAAAACCTACACCAAGTTTCTGCGATGAAGTCGGATTTGTATCACCAACCATTCCCTGCAACGTCATGCTCTCAGTGAAAGGGACACCATCAAAAAACGTATCCACGAACTGATTCGGAATTTAGTCAAAAGTGCTCTTGTGCTTGAGGTGCTATCACCCGAGGAACGCCAACACCTAGAATCTTTTGTGCAATCGATCGAGGAGAAACGGGTGGAATGTAAACGTCAAATACTACAGAAATTGATTAATCCAATGAAACACGCCAGTGAGTTTCAAATCAACCCTGCGAAATACGTTCATAACTTTTCTTCTGTTATATTGGATAAAAAGTTACTTAAGGTGCTTTCACTAGGACCCGTAGTTTGTTGTCCCGCTCGAAAAATTAAACGTTTGAACCTGGAGGTTGAGTTTGTGAATCTGTACTCTTGCTCCGCATTCATCACCAGATTTAGCAGAGATGAAATCTACTCTAGTTAACACCTGCTATAAACTCTTGGGCAGTAAACCATCGACAAAAGAGTTTGTAAACGCACAACACAGGGAACGGTTGAAGAGGTTGAAGGAAAACCGAGACCAGATAAAGGGTCAGTATAGTCCTTTTAAATCGATCAGACTATTTCAACAAAATGAACAGCATACTCAGCGATACCAGAAAATTTCAGAAAATATCCAGGGAAAAAGATAAAACAGAAGAGTCACGGTCGAAAACACTCCGGTGTCTCAAACGGAGGGACGTAATAAAAACTGCCACATTTGATCAGCTCCGACTAACTGGAACGATGATCCCGAGACTTTATGGCTTGCCGAAGATACATAAAAACGGAGTGCCTCTCCGACCGCTTTTAGATATGTGTAACTCCCCTTACCATGCCTTGGCTAAGTGGCTGATGGCGATCCTGGAACCCGTGCTAGCACAACTCGCCAATCATACATTAAAGGATTCCTACGATTTAGTGGCTAGTATTGAAGACACAAACATGAACGGAATACGCATGATATCACTCGAACTCAGTTCACTCTTCACAAACGTTCCCACTGATGAAACTACTGAGTACATATGTGACCACATACAAAGTAATAATTGTGAAGCTGAAATGCCAGTTGGTGATCTCAACAAATTACTATACTTTTGCACACATAATGTACAATTCAAATACAATGACGAAGTATATCGCCAAATAGATGGAGTAACAATGGGATCTACTCTGAGTCCACTGTTCACAGAAACCTTCATCTCAAAGCTGGAGAATAACATCCTAAAACGAACTATCGATCGTTGCACATTTTACAAGCACTATGTGGATGACATTTTGTGCTTGGTCAATGATAGTGTGTATCTTCCAAGACTCTTGAGAGTATTTAATTCAGCTCATCCAAACATAAGGTGTACTCCAGAGAACGAAGAGAATGATCAACTTGCATTTCTGGACGTTCTACTAAGCCATCGATCAGACGGAACTATACAACGCGCCATCCACAGGAAACTATCGTGGAACAATCAGTATATACATTTCAAAAGCTATGTGTCTTTGGAACGGAAAATAAACTTGATTCATTTCCTCGCGGCCAGAGCGCGGAGAATATGTACGGACGATACCATTGATGCAGAATTGAGTTTTATTCGAGATGTTTTCTTTCACAAAGGATACCCCGTGCGATTTGTGGACCACATTTAGGGTCGTCACCGGTTGCCAAATAAGACCATTACTGCCGAGAAGAAACCGGTTTACATATCCCTACCTTTCAGGGGCGACACAACTGCCGATATGGTGACAAGTAAGCTCAGTACAGTTGTAGAAAAGGCATTCCCCGCAGCAAAACTGCGTATTATGTTCAACTCTAGGTCACTTTTGTGCTTGTAACTAAAAGATAAGTTGCCTATTTCTGCCGTCTCTTTCTTTGTGTACTTATTTACCTGTTCCTGTGGGGCAAGGAACATTGGTCGCACGAGCAGATGTTTATCTGAACGAGTCCGTGAGCGTCACCCAGCCTGGTTGAACAGTGAAGTAATTAGGACCATTAACAGCTCAATCGTTACACACCGAGT